ATGCTTTACTGAGAAGGTGCACTTTCCACAGGGAGTTGAACGTGAACAGTTAGCCGTGCAGCTTTCTGCAAGAACATACAGCAAATAGAAGGATACCAAGAGTAAACTGGTCGGGCATATTTAAGGAATGGTATGAGGACAAGTGGGTTGGAGCTGAGAAACTGAGGGGGGCCCTAGTCCATGCTGTCAGAGACAAAATGAGAGAATAAAGTGGGGCTAGGCTATATGGACCATTGTAAGGACGTTAGCTTTTACTCTGAGTAAAATGGGGAAGCAGTACAGGGCTTTGATTAGAAGATGAATGTAATCTGAGTGAGGTTTTTTTTTTTTTTTTTTTTTTTTTGAGACGGAGTCTCGCTGTGCCGCCCAGGCTGGAGTGCAATGGCCGGATCTCAGCTTACTGCAAGCTCCGCCTCCCGGGTTCCCGCCATTCTCCTGCCTCAGCCTCCCAAGTAGCTGGGACTACAGGCACCCGCCACCATACCCGGCTAGTTTTTTGTATTTTTTTAGTAGAGACGGGGTTTCACCGTGTTAGCCAGGATGGTCTCGATCTCCTGACCTCGTGATCCGCCCGTCTCGGCCTCCCAAAGTGCTGGGATTACAGGCTTGAGCCACCGCGCCCGGCCTGAGTGAGGTTTTTAAGTGACTTCTCTTCTGTACTGAGAATAGACTATATGGTGACAAGGTTTGAACCAGGAAAGCAAGAGTACAAAACTGCTTACTGAATTGATGCGGTCTTCATCTCTCCGGTATTCTAGACTAGTATATTTAAATGCCCATTGAACATACTTCAGTACAACACAGATATCTAAAGTTCATCATGTTCCAAACTAAATCCATCTGCTCTTCCCAGATCCCTGTTCCCAAGTTGCCTCCTCCTCCCAAAACCTTGCCTTGGCAAAGACCCAGCCACTCAAAGAAGAACCCCACTTGACTCTTCATATATTCCTTGCCCATCAGTCAAATTGAAGATTAAAAGAGCCTTTAAGTTCTCTTTAGTAAGGTATATCAGTTACTTTAATTTCATCCACTGCTTAATTTGTTAGTCCTATCTTTCTGCTACCCCTCAACACTCAATATTAAAATTCAAGCAGTTCCTTGAGAGAAATGCAGGATACAGTGAATCCGTCCTGAGTTTGTGAGTGCACTGTTTAATCCACTTCCTTGCCTGGGCATGGGCCTATACATCTTCAGTGACTGATAGAAAGGCCTTGTGTGGTACTGTAGTCCAGCCAGACAGATTTGGGCTGAATCTCAGTTCTATAATTTATTAGTCACATGACTTCAGACAAGCCGCTTAATAACACTAAGCCTCATTTTCTTTATTTTTAAAAAAGCAAAAACATAACCATCTGCCAGTGTTGTTTTTAGTGTTAGAGATATTTCCAAAGCCCCTTTTAGACAGTCCTCAATAAATAATACTTCTACTCCCTCTAGACCACGTTCCTCAAGAAGACAGAGAAAGAGACTTCACTAAAGGTCATAGTTTACATTAAGGCTCACTCTTTGTGTTTTACAGCTCTGTGGGCTTTGTCAAATGCATAATATCATTCATCTGCCATTGCAGCGTCATACAGAGTAGTTTCACTGCCCTAAAAATCCCGTGTTTCACTGTCATCTCCTGACAACCACCTGACAATTACACTGTCTGTTGTGTTGCCTTTTCCAGAATGCCATATGGTTAGAATCATACAGTATGTAGCCTTTTTTTCCCCCTAAAGCGACGGGGTCTTGTTCTGCTATCCAGGCTGGAGTTCAGTGGCACAGTCGTAGCTTACTGCAGCCTCGAATCCCTGAGCTCAAGGGATCCTCTCGCCTCAGCCGGGACTACCGGTGTGTGCCACCACAGCTGCCTAATTTAAGTTTTTTATTTTATTTTTTAAATTTTTTGTAGAGACAGGGTCTTGCTGTGTTTCCCAGGCTGGTCTCGAACTTCTGGCCTCAAGAAATCCTTCTGCCTTGGCTTCCCAAAGTGCTGGGTTTACAGGTGTGAGCCACTTATGCCCAGCCCAGTATGTAGCCTTTTCAGACTGGTTTCTTTCTCTTAGCAGTTTAATGGATAATTTTAATGGAATCAGTGTCTAGATTCTCCACTTCTGCATAAACTCTTTATTAATATTGATCTGCCTGAGAATAGTGCTTTATTCACAACACTCTTTCTCTTACCTTACGAAAGAAAAGCACACCCTTATCCATCCCAAATGTTATTATGGTGCATTATCCTGAAGTCATAGAAAATTTAACATTAAAAATTCAACTAATGCATTAAATGTGTATTGCAGAGAAGTATGACAGGGTGGCCGGGTGCAGTGGCTGACACCTGTAATCCCAGCACTTTGGGAGGCTGAGGTGGGCAGATTACCTAGGTCAGGAATTTGAGACCAGCCTGGCCAACATGGCAAAACCCCATCTCCACTAAAAATACAAAAATTAGCCATGATTGCCCTTCATATGGTGGCACTTCATATGGTGGCACATGCCTGTAGTCCTAGCTACTTGGGAGGCCTAGGCAGGAGAATTGCCTGAATCCAGGAGGCGGAGGTTGTAGTGAGTCAAATTAGTGCCACTGCACTCCAACCCGGGTAACAGAGCAAGACTCCACCTCAAAAAAAAAGTATGACAGGGTGAACAACTGAGGACTTAATTATAAAAATACGTAAAAATTCTCTGAGGCCGCAAGATGGAAATAAAGGTCAAGAAAATAAATTGCCATGTAAATTTCAGCTGCCAAAAGAATCATCTCTGTGTGTTATTTAAATAGATAGTGGTTATATTAAATTATTGTAGATTTAGATGCTATTGAGTATATTTAAAATAGCTGATGTGTTTTTTTTTTAAATGCCAATATTTCCAATAGGGTAGAAATTAAATTCTTTGCAAGTACATATTTTACCACAGGTGGAAATTTGTAAATGTCAATTTGGTAATGTGTAAATGGTTACATAATTTTACATAATTTTTCAAAATTCTTTTAAGAGTCTGTGAATAAAGGCAATTAAAGCCTGGTAGCCTATCCTACTCTATAAAACCCAAGTTTGTCGACCTGGCTTATAAAATCCCTCATCACCTTACTCCTTCTAATTGGTTTTGTTTTGCTTTTAACTACTTACTGTCTCCAGCAAGAAAGATCTATTTGAAGTTCTAAGTATGTGTTGTGCTCTTTCCTGCCTTTGTCTTGATTGTGTCATTCTTCCTTTTTTGCCTCACTACCTTCTGCCCATTCTTTAGGATCCAGAAGTCTGGAGTGAGGAATTACCTCTTCCACCCCCACTTCATGTTGGCTCAGATGCTCATTTTCCTTTCTCCCATCATTGCCTCCTCTAGTCTTTGTTGCTACATTGTTTTACATTTAACTTCTCTTTTCTTTTTCTGGAATTAGACCTGGAAGGTCTTTTGAGAGTAGGAACTATGTTTTATCTTTGCCTGTTCAGCACCTAGTTATATACATCTCTTGACAATAAGTTAATTTATTAGATAAATATTAATTTTTGCAATAAGCAAGGAAAGGTGGATTTCAAATAGTTGGAAAGTTAATTCTTATGTGCAACTTTATTTTTTTTTTTTTGGTCAGTTACACTGTAAAAAGCTATTTTTGTTCTATGCTGATTATTTTTCTGGCTATAATATTTGCATTTACTGGTAAGATTTTAGTAAGCTTTCACATGAAGATGAGCCTAAAGATTATTTTGAGAACCACCGTTCTAATAGAAGGAACACATTACTGTAAGTAATCAGGCAAGGTTTCTAGTTTTGGCTCTGTCACAGAGTTGCCGTGTTGGCACTGTCACAGAGTTGCCATGTTGGCACTGTCACAGAGTTGCCATGTTGGCACTGTCACAGAGTTGCCATGTGACCCTGGGCAAAGTAACCAGCCTGGGGGTTGATTTTCTTATCTGTAAGATGAGTAAGTGACCAGAGTCTCCCAAAAGTTTCCTTTACCTTTGATTTAATCAAGAGAAAATTTTAGTAAAATTTGCTTTTAGTAAAGCAAACACATGATTATCTTTGATAAGCAATAAAAAATATGGGCTCATTTATTTTCTACTCATTCATACTGTGGACCTTATAGGTGATATATGGAGATACTCTGTACCTTGTTTATGTCACCTACAAACCATATACTCTAGTGTCATGACTTGGATTCTATCCTTAATCTAAAAATTAAATTTTCAACTTGTCATAATTATAAATATAGAAGTTTATATTTAAACTGTAAATATTCTGTTGAGTTACAATTTTAGGTTATATTTTGGCATCTTTCACTAAATATATGTTGTATCTGATTAATATTATACTTTCCTATACATTTCTATCATTCTCCAAATGAACTTACATTGACATATTTTTGTGACCAGTTACTTAGTCACTGCAGCCTTTCTTTTTGAGAAGCAATATTAAAAAAATTACAAAACTGCTTTCCTGTGTCATTTGGATTCATAATATATAATAAATAAGTTTTATAAAGCTTGATTGACTGACATTTAGATATGACTTTTATAAAGGGTTTGAGAGTATGTTGTTTGGCTGAAACAAAGGCAGTATTTCCTTTCTTGTCTTTGACTCCACCTAGCCCCACTTTTCTCCACCTGCCTGAGGAAAGCTGGAAAGCTGTATTTCTTCAGACAAACTTCATGATTGCCCTTCTGTGCCTGATAGGGGCCTCAGGAAAGGCCCATAGCATCTGTAAAGCTGGCAGCAGAATGGTATTTCCAGGCAAGCACAGGGTTGCTGGGTAGTGAGCCAATCCACAGCTTTGTCTGAGCAGCTGAGAACTTTGCCGGAGTATTACCACGGTGTTCAGTAACACAGACCTGTGCCATGAGCAAGTAAAGCACTGAGCAAGTGTCAGGGTCAATATTTATAGACCACTACATAGCTGCCTTGCAGAGAGAGAAAACGGGAGAGTAACATGCACACAGAGGGCAAGGAAAGAAAGACTGCAGTGGAGGGAATGTTAATTTCCAATTCTTTTCTGAAAATATATTCTTTTTGACTGTCAGGTTCAGACTTCTGCTGATTCATAACCATTTGGCGCTGAGCTATGACAAGAGAGGAAACAAAAAGTTAAACAAGCAAGCCTGCCATAAGTGAGAAGGTAAGTAATTAGCCAGTTCGGTCTCGCTGTTACTCGTAAACTCTGTCTCCCTGTTGGCTGCACTGCATCAGTAAGCCAAGGGCTGTGTGGCATGTCAAAGCTAATGAGGAGGGCTGCCTGCTGGGTAAGAATGTTCTTGGTGGCAGAGCCGTTTTGTGTACTGCTGTTGAGAATGCCGGGTACATTCACAAGACGTTTCCTGCGTGTGGTAGGAATAGCTCTCAAGCACCAATTTCATACTGTGTCCTATCAGTAAGTTTCTGTCTCTTCATTCTATCAAACTCGAGGTCTTCCAGTTGGTAAATTCCCATTTACTTTTATGTCGGTATTAAAACATTAGTGTCAGTTAAGTTTATTGTAGTGAGTGGTCTACACATGGATTGTAAGAGAAACATTCAGATGAACGTATGAAGGTGTAGTAGTCAGTGTCAAAATGTGGAAGCTGGGAATTTGGGTAACATGAGGTCTTTTTTTAAAAAAAGCCAGCCTCCATTTTCCAGTGCACTGAAGTGAAATAGTACCTTTGGGATTAGAGAGAACCTGGGGCGGTGAGAAGTGAGAACAGTCTTCCTAATTCATGGTGCCAAAGGCAAGCACTGAGGTAGAAGTTCTCTGTCCAGGTCACTTGCTATTGGGTTCTAAAAACTGCGACTCCATACTCAACCTCAAACTAAAATTAACATCTCCTCCTATGCATTAATAGTTCGTTTTTTACTGTCATCACATGTAGCACTTTAAATATATTTCTGTGTATGTTCACGGTGCTGTAGCGTGTTCATCTTCATTGTGGTTTTTCATATTCCAGATTATCATTAAAAGCACTGGCACTGAAGGAGACAAAAAATTGTTTTCTATGTATTTTCTGGTTTAGAATGCTCATGAAATATACATACTTGTATGTTTATGTCTACTACACATGGACTAGAAAGTAAATTATGTTGTTTCACTAGAACTGTGGCTTTAACTAGAGGAAATTTACTGACATAATGAAAATTTCCTTGATCGCATTTCAGATTGTAGAACTATCAGCATTAGCATGATATTTAGAACTGTTAAGTTAGGTTATAGATGGTGATTATAGGTCCAAAGGGTTTTCTGTACTACATATTTAAGTTAAAAACAAAAAATGAGATTGATGCTGCTGTAGAGCTGAAACTGTACAGCAATAGAGATATGAGGAAGAGCTAATACTCTGGCTCAGATTTTGTGTTAGGACTAATATACAGAAATCAGCGCATTCTAAAATAGGATAAGCCAGATCTAAAACAACAGGTAGAATATGTTTAAATCAAAGTAAGAATCTTAAAATGAGACCAATTGTTGTGCAGTATCACTTTTGTTGAATGCATATATAACTTTTCAAATGATGCAAATGTTTCAAAATTAATTTTATTACTTCAGAAATACTTTAAGGCTAATGTAATTGATATCTTAAACAGTATTTTGACATTCATTTATTGCTCGTTTTATCATCTGAATCTTTGTACTTCTTCAAATTCTGCCTACCGTTTCCATTTTATTAGTGGGTTTGATTTAGATTTTTGAAAATATCTTTATTTTGAAAATACAACCATGATTGATCTAGAATGGGCATTTCCCAGTTATAGAATCTAACTGGCTAATTTCATCTATCAGTTTTTATTTGCTCTTCCCTTTAAGTAATATCTCATGATCAAGATTGTAATTTCAGATTTTTATTCAGTGTCTTTTAATTTTTGCTTTATATTTTGCATTTAAATAAATACTGGCATGATAATTGCTTTCTTACCCCTCTTTATTGGTTTTGTTTTTATTCCTTCTGGTGTCTTGTTTCCGAAGTACCTTGTTGAAATTTGGGCAGAAAACAAGGCAAGCAAATAAAGAACTACAATAAAAAGAAACTAAAGAAAGTTTTCCTTTCAATCAAGAAGAAATACGACATTGTGACACTGGTTAATAATGTCTGCATTAGGATGTATTTTGGTTGAAGACTGGTTGAGTGTTTTAAAACTCGAAATGCCTTGTCAGTATTTTTGGCTCTGTTGTCCATCCTGACTTTGGTTATCATATTTACAAATAATATTTTATATGCAAGCATCTTATACAAAATGAAAATGGCACATTTTGTATTATGTATTAAGTATCTATTGAAGCAATGTGAATGAATTTAGCTTGAAATATTAATATTAGCCTCCTCATGGATCTCACTGCTCTAGAGTCATATTTGCTCTGCTAGTAGTCCATCTGCTACACTACTCTTTTTTTTTTTTTTTTTTTGAGATAGGGTTTCAATCTTGTTGCCCAGGCTGGAGGGCAATGGCAAGATCTCAGCTCACTGCAACCTCTGTCTCCCGGGTTCAAGCAATTCTCCTGTCTCAGCCTCCTAAGTAGCTGGGATTACAGACATGCACCACCACTCCAGCTAATTTTGTATTTTTAGTAAAGGCGGGGTTTCTCCATGTTGGTCAGGCTGGTCTCAAACTCCTGACCTCAGGTGATCCATCCACCCCGGCCTCCCAAAGTGCTGGGATTACAGGTGTGAGCCATGGCGCCTGGCCTCCTGTACTACTCTTAGGGGGTCAATCTTCCACTCTGATGAACCCATTGCTTTTAATCTAAAACCATCCCATCCCTGTCTTTCTACTGCTTATAGATAAAGACCAGGCTTTACTATGAGTCTCTTGCTCATATACCATCTACTTTTGTTCTATATCAATCTTCTGCCATTCCTTCTGGGCTGTTGTGTGTATCTCTCTTGCCTATCCATGAGAATATTCCCCTTTCTGTTTTATTTGCTGGCAGTATTCAACATCTTCTATTTCTCAAAACAATCCACATTGCATTGCTTTTTTCTTGTATCATTTATGCTGTTCTATCTTGAAAACCCTTTTCCCAATCTTTGCCTTCTAGCCTCACTGGAGAAAGCCCTGCTGGTCTATTCTTAGACTCTATGACTTGGCCTCCTATATAAATCTCCATCCCGGTACTTTGGAAAGCTTGATAATATAGTGTTATATGTTTTTGTTTCTGCCTGAGACTGTAATTTATTTATGGCCAGATTTTTAAATTTAATTTTTTATGCTTCCCCAAGACCTAGCACATAACAAGTGTCCCAGAATTTGAAGTAAACAAAAACTTTATTATTTTAAATATAATTTTCTTTATACCCCTTTCACTTTAAAATATTTTACAATTTTGATTAATTAGATAGAAGGAAAACCTCTCAAGTAGATGATACATACTTTGGGGATATTAATAATAATCTAAAAAGTTATTTTGTTTCTTTTTCTAGGACCAATCACAGTATAGTGTGTGTGTGTGTGTATCCATGCAAAGAGATATTTGCTGAACTCATAAGCTTATTTGAGTAACAAAAGTCAAAATGATGTTGGTTAGCAAATACAAATTCAGGGTACATATTCCAAAAATGCTGTTTATGTAATGAATTTGGTGAAGTCTGTCAAAAATATCAGCTAGTTGCTGTGGCCATGTTACCTTAATTTACATGGATAAATTAAGTGATGCCCTAGCAAACTAAAGACAGTGTCATGCCTTCCAAAAGACCCAGAGAGAGCTTCAGGAGAGAATAGGTCCATCCTCATGTAGCTGAGAGAATTGCAGAGTGAAATTGCTCCCAATATTACTAGTAATCCCTCAGATTTCATTTACTGGAGCAGAGATAGTTCAGGTTTTAATGAAATAATAGAAAATCATGGTCTAAAAATTCTAAAACCTGAAAGGTGATAATTCCATTTCAGGCGGAAGAAGAATTTGCTCCTCAAAATAGAAATGTTGAAAGAGAAGGAAGTTGACATTTAAAAAAAGTAGTTTAGCTCTGATATTCAATAAAAATAAAATTTAATTTGCCTTTAATTGTATTTTATTTGCCCATCATACATAAAAGTTCTTACATTATATATGAAATATTTTATATACCAGGAACAAGTGTAAAGCTTCATGAACAATTTGGAGTGACTTATAGTTTTCTTAATTTGATTATTTTTACTTTAGTGTACTCTACCAGCAGTTTCCACTTAAACCTTATAAACATCTTCCAGACATTGAATATAACTCTTCTGTTTGTTTAACCTTGAATTGTATCTGTCTTAGGAATGAAAACAAGATTGGTATTTTCATAGGAAAATTTGGTAATCGTAATTGCTTGGAATGGACCGTAATTCAATTTGGAACGTTTTTTCAGATGTATTTTGCCCATATAACTATCCTGTGTTAAAAATATGTGGAGTGGGGAGGCTGAGCAGGAGAATTGCTTGAATACAGGAGGCGGAGTTTGCAGCGAGCCCAGATTGCGCCACGGCACTCCAGCCTGGCGACAGAGCGAGGCTCCGTATCCAAAAAAAGAAAAAAAGTGGAGAAAGTGCCTTAGCAAAGAGTCATAGGTATGGATTTTATAGATCTCACTGGCATATCGTAATATAAATATTATATGATTGGGATGGTGGAATTTTCTTTGGTATGGACACAGAAATATACCAAGTTCCTGTTAGCCAGTGAGGAGGGAAAGCCAAGCTTGCCTCAGTATGGAAACATATAACTATAACAAACATAAGCAAAAACACCACCACCAGCACCGAGAAAAGCTCAAAGAACTTCGTGGTTGGAATGAGGCATAAAGGATTTTACCAGAACAATCAAGTCTTATTTTATCATTGGTACAAGCTTTATTGCCAACCAAAATTTTTCTATAACAGTGAAGGGCATGTAATTCATAGAACCCAAGAGGAGAAGAGTGAATTAATTATGGAAGTGGGACTTTAAAGCTTTTCTTCAGTGCTTCCATTTTATCAATGGGCAGTTGTGGCATCCACAGGTAACATAACCTGCCAAACATCAGCTTTTCAAGTAGCTAGTTAAGATTCGGATAAAAATTAGTGTTAGGTAATTATACGGCCAGTATGTTATTAATGCAGCTTTTCTTGTCTGAATGTAATTGCTCTGTTTTTGTTCTTCATGCTGCATTTAAAGTTTAATTTGTTGTGTCTCTGTGTCTTGTCTTGTAT